GCCTGCTTCTCCCTCTCCCACTCCCCCTGCTTGTGTTCCCTCTCTTGCTGTGTCTCTCTCTGTCAAATAAATAAATAAAATCTTTTTAAAAAAAACTTTAAAAAAAAAGCAATATCCAGGGCTGTTGGGTGGAGAACAACTAACCTGCCTGAAGGAGAAAGCAAAAGCTCTCAGAAGAATTTCTTTTTTCCAATTCTGTTGAGATAAAATTGACATAAAACATTGTGTAAGTTTAAGGTGTACAACATAATGATTTGATAGATGTATTGCAAAACGATGATCACAGAGGAAGTCTTGAGATAGAGATTTCATGGCACTTACATCGTCATCCTTATCATAACCTGGTAGTGATAACAGTAGCTAACATTAACCAAGGCTTAATTTACGGCAGCCGCCACGTGAGGCCCTTTATGTTACGTCTCATCATGTAAACTGGTTGCTGTAATCAGTACCCTGGTTTACTTACTTGTGTTCGCATGGTCTGTTTGGGACTGGTTCTAAATGCCATTGCTGCCCAACTAGTAAATTACAGTACTCCCCAGAACATTGATCCTCTCACTCTAGTTCCCTTCCTGATGGAGTATTCACTAATTTACAAGAACTGGAATTGACTGCCTTTAGTCCCAGGCTGAATCTTTGACACAAGTCGATTTGCATCCCCTACGCCACTGAAATCACTTCCCCAGGGTCCCACTGCCTACATACAGCCTGCACGGTACATGTAAATGGTGGGGGGTCTCACTGGGCTTAGGGCAGCATCCTCTCCTCATAGGTATAAAGCCCTAGCCTCGCACAGTCTAGTGTGAAAACACTGTCAAGGTCTCCATGGGAAAAGATGTGCCCTTGCTTTCAGGGTAGTGGTTAGCAATAATTGACAGTAATAATAACTATGATAAGAATATTTAACATTGGGGCGCTGGGTGGCTCAGTCGGTTAAGCATCCAACTCTTGATTTCAGCTCAGGTCATGATCTCAGGGTGGTGAGACTGAGCCTCACATCGGGCTCTGCACTCGGTGTAGAGCCTGCATAAGATTCTCCCTCTCCCCCTCTCTCCTTCCTCCAAAAAAAAAGAATAACATTTACTAAGCACTTATATATTTGGTATATTGTGTGTACTAACTGATTTAAATGTTGCATATATAGATACTGTCACTTTATAGATGGAGAACCAGGTTCAGTTACCTGCCATAGTTGGGAAATTGAGTACCAGGTTGGACACAAATAAGAAAGATTAGACTGTAGTTAGTCCTGTTCGTGGGCAGGTCCACCGTGAGGAGCTCTACCTCAGGGCACTGGAGAGCAGGAGTTCTCCAGTGTTTGCAGGTTCAAAATGAAGTTCTTTGGAAAGACCATCCCCAAGGTGCCCCTGACTTCTCCCCCAACCCCACACACCCCAGCTCAGCTGCGCTCTCCCCACTCTCCACAGACAGATTAGAGCTCTTCACCTGCCCAGGTGTGTCTCGCCTTGGCCTTTGTGTGGCGGTTCCCTTGGCCCCAACTGCCTTTCCCTTTCTCTCCCTTGCCTGTTCATCCCAAGTTCAGCACCTGTCTCAAGGAGTCCCCTTCCCCAGGCAGCTTGTCCAGACTTGTTAAGGGCCCCCCCATCGCACGGCCACTCCTTCCTATATGGATTTCTGCCCAGAAGACTGTGAGCTCGCCGAAGCCAGGGGCTCCAGCCAATCCATTTTGCGGCACTGGTGCTTAAAAGCTCCTATAATAAATATGTCGGAGTTTTCATTAACTGCTTATTGTCACCCTGTGTTTGTTTTTCCCTCACTGCTCTGCGCTTACGTCTGTAAGGACATTAAGGACAGCTTTGCCGCGAATTAAAATTGGCAACTTAGCATGACACCTCTGTTTGCTACGAAGGCACTTTTATTTATTGTGTTTTGCTTTTGTAAACAGCACCCTTGTGGGGCTGGTGCAAATCTGTGGTGTTTCCTTGAGGTGTTTCCTTGTTCCTTTTATGTCGACTCATCACATACTGTGGAGAGTGTTAGCTGAGGACGACTTTTTGCTTTATGAAAATGTTACCAAATGCTGATACCATAAAGAGGAAAGCACCAGATGCCTGTCTGCAAGGAAAGCAAAATCCTGGTCTGTCAGGGGTGGCGAGGACTCCCCAGGCATTTCTGGGCCTGAGGTTTGGCTCTGCATGCTCCCTTGGGGCCTCATAATTGACCCCCACATTCCATCTCAGTCATCATTCTGGAGAGATTTGTCAGCTTTGCTGCTGATCTGTGCCTGGAAAATGGTGTCCATTAAGTGTTCCCAGTTTTAAGCTGAAAATTGAGACACACTTGCCAGTAATTTTGACCAAAATAACACATATGATCGTATGGCATCCCATGATTGACTTAATTTTACTCTTCCTTTGAGCTATCAAACGTTTCTCAAGGTGTATACAATTGTCTGGGAAACAGGTGATTTATAGTTAGAAATTATGTAAACTTGCCAAACCTCAACTGAGAATAATGTTTTAGTGCCCAACTTCAGGCAAAGGGTCATAAAACAGAGTGTTCTCTGGTTTGTAGCAAGGAATTGGAGGGGGGCATGTTCTAGATGATGGTAATAATAAAGACTTAGGCTATCAAGGCATCTAGTCAAGTAGCCTTGAGGTGATTTCCATAAAATGCAATTTTCCTTCTGGGCACATTAAAATCAATGTGTAATACATTATCTACTCTAGGTAAATGTGTATTGTTTGCTTTTTGTCATAATTCTTTATTGCATTTGGCAGCAAATGAGCTAATATTGAAATTTAGAGAGAGAATAAAAAGAAATACTTTCAGAACTCATATTCATACATAATTTAAAATATGAACTCACCAAAACCCCCAAAACCTAGTCTCACTTGTAAAAATGCTCTCGCTAATATGCCCAGACTGAAAAGCTTACAAAGGTTAGAATTCTGCAGTGTTTAATGAGAGGCTCTTAACTTCATCTGTTGGGTTCTGTTATCATGAACACCAGCCCTGAGAGCTGCTTCCTACTGGTAGCTAGGTGGGAGGGGCTAGTGGAAAAGCACATTCAAAAGTGGATCTGGGGGGGTGGGCAGGACCCACCTGCCTCTGAAATTCAGGGGGACAGGAATGGATCAGCTTCCTGCCCAGTGCATCTTTGTTTGGTTCCTCGCCCTTTTTTCATAATCAGAGAAAGATGTCTTAGCATTGTTTCTGTGGGTTTCTACTGAGGACCGAGAGCATCAGCAGTTTCCCCTCTTTCAGGTGGTGCTCAGAGTTCATTGTAAGCCTGAACCACTTCACCCCTCTAAGAAGGTGTAGAATCCTAGAAAAACCCCCTCTCCACCAAGCCCAGATAACAGTTGCATACTCTTGTAGCAAAACAACCCTGTTCAACAGTTCAATGACAACTACACTGATCCTTTTCCATTCTTCCTGTTTTCAATACAACATAACAGTAGTGTCCATAGAATTATAACCGCTTTTAGAATCGATGACTCATTGCCTATCTCACGTCACAAAGTTCTGTGTCCGTCCTACCTAACTTTTCAGTTCCCCTCATCCCTTCCCCATTCCCGGGATTGCTCACATGTTTATTTCCAAGAATGAACTTGTTTGACCAAACTGTTTTTAATACGGTTTTGAAAAAAAAGAATTTATGTTCCTCTCCATTTTCACAAGCAAGACTCAAGCTTGGACTCGAATGTTCTAGGAAGGCATTTTTCCATTGTTCCTGATCATGTCTAGCCATGAGACCAGAGGTGACTAACACTGGGTTTCCGTGTGCTCTGATATTTATGAGTTCTTTTTAGAGGGTAGGTGTGCTTTTAATTTTAAAAAGAAAGAAGGAAAACAAGGGAGAGAATTATTGTGAGGTTGGGCCAGGTCACATTTTGTCACTTGAAAGTGAAATTGTAACAGGGTCACATCAGACCATTTTTACAGGGATGACTAATGGTTTTCTTCTCTCTCTGTTCCAGCCACACCAGCTATCCTTGGCAGACCATCCCAGAGTCTGCAAAGAGTTAATCCAGGCCCAGGGACAAGTAAGAATTTCAGTTCTTTTTCTGTCATCAGTGATCTTGTCCATGCTTTACTGTAATTCAAGTTACCATCCTTTCTTTGCTGTATTTGAGATTTGGTACCCGGATGAATGACTGATGGAAATTGCACAAATAAGCAAAAAATACATATTTTTAAAGGATGTCTTTTTCAGCTTCACTGCAAGGCTGCTTCTTTATTTCTCTAATTTGCTTATCCTTAGAGGTTAAGTAAAGCCAAATTAATGAGAAGGGGAAAAAAAAGATTAAATAACATTGTGGACCAACAATTAGTTTATTGACTTTAGGAACCTGCCTCCTTTTACAAATTGGGTATTACATTGTCATTATTGTTTTGAGATATTTCTATACCTAGTGATCGCATTGACAGTTAAACTTGTCCCTTCAACCATATCATCTTATGCTCCAAAACTCTGCCTTCATGCGAGCTATCTCTTCCTGAAATGCCTTTGCACATCGCCCTCTTGTCTTCTGACAATCTCCTCCTCATCCCCAAGACTAAACTCAGGCATTAGCTCTGTGGGGAAGCTTCTCTAAATCGTCTAGGACCAAAGACTTGTTCTGCCTCTGTGCTCCCATAGAACTTTGTCCCGTGCTCCACGATAGGTGTACTTCACAGGATTTGAGTGTATGTGTTAGTACCATGTGCAGAACTCAATGAGCTGTGTGGGCCGCATGAATTAAGTAATTATGTTTAGCTTTAAGACAAGGCCCACTTTTTGTGCTTCTTCTAAATTCCTCACATGACCTAAAACAAATCCTCATCAGTCATAGGTGCCTTTAATTAAATTCCAGGGAAGGATTTTCTCATCATTTGAAGTATATGCTGGAGTCCCCATGACACAATAGAGGAAGGGAAGACCGTGCACCTAACTGAGCTTAACGCCATTGCTGTTTCATTGGCAATTCCGGTGTCTTGAAACCATAATTTGGATTTTATGACATAATTACAGAGTAGATTTCTAAATGAGATATAAATCCTTGGAGGTGACTCAAAGGGAAGGTTAGTGCTGTTTTTTTGCAAGTGGCATCCACTTGTCCGTTGTGCCAGGCCACAAACTCTTTACAACCCTCCTCCTGTTTTAGAAGCCTCTGACATGTTCATCTGCTCCCTAATTAATATGAGAGGTTATAAAAAGGGTGGCTTTTTAGTCATGTTTGGGTTATCCCAGCCAGTATATTTCAAAGCCTTCACACAGCAGATGACGTGATTTATTCCTAGTTTCTGCAAGGAAATGAAAAGGAATCAGTTAAAAATGTTTTACTATGTATAGAATTGTTGAATCACTATATTGTACACCTGAAACTAATATAACACTGTGTGCTAACTATCCTGGAATTAAAATTTAAAACTTACAAGAGAAGAATGTTCTACTAATGGTGCATGTTGCATCCCACATTGGTCCCTCCTCCGCACACAAACATAGTACACTGCCCTTCACTTTCCCCTGAAGGGGAGTACAGTTCTTCCCATCTTCTTTGTGAAGTCACGGGGAGAGGAACCTAAGCATTGGACTTGTTGTAATACAACCTCTGGGTATGGCAGGTCTGTTGAAGAAATTCCTGCTAAGTCCTTTGGCATATGTTGATTTTCTGTCTTTGTGATAGACAAGAATCCTAGTTATCCCTTATCTGTGATATAGCACATAGATATTGACCTGCCCACACAAAAAAGAATACTGTCCTTCCAGCTTCCCCTGATCAAAAGCTAGCTCCCCTCTCTCCCAAGACTGATTGGATAACCCCTGTCGGTGGGTGTGTCTATCAGCACTCACTTTCCACAGAGCACAGGCTTGGACACATGGCCACCTTTGTCATCTGAGCATCTCATTGAGATGTGACAGACGCTGGTGCTCACGTCACCTCACCTTGTACACTGTCACTGTTTCACAAGCATTTAACTCTCTGCTGTGCACCCAGCACAAGCTCTGCACTCTGGGGAAGAAGGGAATGAGGAAGATATTGTCCTAACATCAGGGAGCTCCTGTTCTCACTCAGGAGATAATTTTACACAAACACCTAGTGTTCAACATGAAATGTCCTGTCATTACACAGTTATAAGTCAGACATTTCCTATGTGCACTTTTCTAAATTCTCAGATTCAAAGCAAAACCCCCATGAAGGAAAAAATATTACAACCCTCTCAGAAAAAATTCTAGACAGAGCTGACCTAACATAGATAAATGCCACCCCACCTCTGCAGGCCCCTTGACTTTATTCTTGGGCTGTTGCTGTAACCCCTTCGTCACTGTCTCCCTCCCCTCTCCTCCCCCCTACTCATCTCTCCTTTCTTGTATGCCAGTGGCAGTTTTAAGAACCCAGCATATCACTCTGCTCTAAACAACCCAGATTTCAAACTGCAAACCTGTCCCAAGACACTGAAATCCAACATCCTTCACCCCAGCTTGTAAGTCTACGCTACTTAGTACCCCCCAGGACTTTGCTCATGTCATCCCATCTTCCAGAACAATCCTCCTTCCACCTCACACCACATTCTGTAACTATAAATCCTGTCCATACTTTAAAGCTCATCCAGGACCCTTTGACCCTTGGCCTGAGACAGTGCTTCCCTTCTCCAGGCTTGACATTAAGAGAGATCATGTAATTTTATACCACTTTTAAGGAATATATCAGATGCTGCTTTGCAGTAGAGTTATTTGCATTTTTCTCTTATCTTCCCATCTGGATTGTGAACAGCTGTATCTTATTCAGAGTTGTGTAACTCACAGGACCTAAAATGGTACCTTGAACAGTGTAAGGAATAAATGATATTGCAAATAAATAAATTAAATGGAAGCAGCCTTAATAGCTCCCTGGTTACCTTCCCCACACTTAGCAAGTCCCACAAACACCCCTTGTCATGGAGGCTGTTAGCTGGCTGGAGCCGGCAGAGAGCATCAGATCCCCCGACCTGTGTTAATCACACATTCATCACCCTAAGTGTTCCAGCGCGGAAAGGACTCATGGGAATCAAGTGGTTTATACTCTGAGGACAGCTTCCTTCCAGGCAAAGGCTACAGTATGGCAACAGTAGACAAGGGGTATGCACTGACCAGAGTCTGACCCAAGTGTGCGCCTCTTTGTCCCCTCACTGCTCAGTCACACAGGATGCACTTTGTCTCCAGATTTGGAACCGCTACCCATGTGCCTGCCAAACACCTCTGTATCACGAAGCCCAAAGTCTCCTCCCGATGGGTTTCCTATAGGGAGCTGGTGATGTAAGTACGTTCTAGCTGTGTGGACAACCGTAACCATCAGCCCCCAGGTTCCAGTGACCTTAGGTGCAAATCATAAACCTAATTCTACTGCTGAGCAGCCTTGACAGACACACGTCTTGCACATCTTTCTGAGGGCTTTTTTTTCCTCTCATTTTTAAGTCATTCCTTTTCACTGAATTTACTGCATCTTACTCTGAAAGTGTAAATTTTGTGATCGGTGACATTTCCCCTTCAAATTAAAATAAGGAAAAAATATGGAAGTCTCACTGACTGGCATTTGGAGCATAAGTTAGTCCAAGGTTTTATGAAAACAGGCATTGTGAACACCAACGTCAATGACTGAGATCAGAGTTACGTTTTGAAAGGATTCCAAAAGCTTATCCTCTTAGATGGGCACAACAGATGAACTGCTTAAAGTCTAATAAGTTCACGAACAACTTCCTTCACAATCATGAGTTACTTTTCAATAAAAACACGATTATGGGACATAAATTTGATAGAGCAGTTGTCACCTTTGTAGATCCTTATCTTCTGTTCTTAGCTGGACTCCTGTCTTTACCTGCTCATTTCTCTTTCTTACCTCCTGTTTTTCTCTATTCCAATGTCCTGCTCTCTGCTCCCATATTCATTCTTCCCCCCCTACATCTGATGCAGTGGCTCTTCTGCCCCATCACCTTCAGGAGCACCCCCAGTTTTCTGTGATATGAACAAACTCCTCTCCCTGGCATTCAAGAAGGTCCATGACATGGATCCTCCATGATTTTCTAGCCTTATCTCTCTTGTATACCGTGGACACCCATGTCTATGTCCCTGCATTTCCTGCTTCATCATATCCTTTCCCACGGACCCCTTTGCCAGAAATTCCCTCTTCTTTCCTCTGAATCGGGAATATGCTCCATGGATTTTGTCTTTAAGGCATATTTCAAATGTCACTTTATCCCATCAGAGGATGAGTACTTTCATTTTGGAATCTCTGTAGAAAGAACTCACTCTGATAGCAAGACAGACCGTTGTAGTCCCAGATCTACCACATACTTCCTGAATGAACTTTCCCGAGTTGTATAAGCTATCTGTACCTTGGTTCTGTTTTGTTTTGTGTGTTTATCTCTAAAATAGAGATGCTGGGTGCCTGGGTGGCTCCATTGGTGAAGTGTCTGCCTCTGGCTCAGGTCATGATCCCAGGGTCCTGGGACCAAGTCCCATGTTGGGCTCCCTGCTCAGTGGGAAGCCTGCTTCTCTCTCTGCCTTCCACTCCCCCTGCTTGTGCTCATGCTGTCTCTGTCTCTCTCTGTCAAATAAAATCCTTATAAAATAAAAAAAATTTTTAAATAAAATAGGGATGCTAATAGTACCTACCTCACAGTTGTTGTGAGAATTAAAAATGTTGATATATTTAAAAGAGTTAGAATAGTACCTGGCCCGTGATGTTTATTGTATTTTCTCATGGCTCTTAGTTTATTCCAACAAGTACTAGGATTGAACTGGGTGAAATGTCCTGTACTCAATTGTATGTTGGACCTTAATATCATGTCATTTGTTTCAACCTTATGGGTTCTTTGGTCTGCTTTCTATTCCCTTGGAATAGACTACTATCATCAGGGGGAGGGGCTTTATCTTATACATCCTTGTATCCCACAATATCTGGGATGTACCTGGCACATGCCAAGTGCTTAATGAATAGTTGTTGGGTTTTGTACACACAAACAAAAGTAAAAAAATAAAAAATAAAAAAGCCAGGTTTCCCCCAATATCATAATACTCTTTGGC